TATATATTATATATAGTTCCTTTTCAGAGGTAGTGAATTATATAGTTAGGAAACTTTTATACTTAGACGATTCTACCGGTTTAGTTAATCACAGTTTGATCGAAGTTACTCTTTTAAAATACGGTTAACAATTGGTATTATCAATGAAGTGACGCTGCGACTAAATTTTTTTATAGTTAAATACATTGCAATTATATATTGCAACTATTATTGATATAAATATCCTATAAATGGCCTTGGATTAACTTTCTAAGCAAGGTATAAAAGAGCATCTAAAGAAAAGAACATGAGTCGCTTTGTTTGATTTGACTTACCGGAGCATCACACGGAGAAACATAAAGACGAGAGAGAAAATTGTATACACTATTTATATCGAGATAAATGAACGAATGAAAAATTAGTCTTCGAGTTTCGATAACAATTTTGAAATATAGAACTCTTTGTGACTTATAAAGAGATTAAGTTTCATATAAGATAGAGATTTGTAATTTAAAACTATTTTAGTTTATATGTGTATGGAAGATATACTGATAACGCATTCTGATATAGGTGTAATATGAGATGGTTTCTTTCAGCTTCGACTGAAGCAGCGTTAGAATATATTCACATAATTGTTTTAAATAATTTATATTATGAAATGAAAAGTGACTTAACGGGCAATATGATTGTTTTCAGAAATGCGCCAGTCAGGAAACACTTGAAGAATGTGTACGGTTGCCTGTCTTTGTCCACCGTGTCAGCGGCTGTTGGAGCTTATGTGCATATGTATACGCAATTCCTGCAGGCCAATCTGCTGACGAGTATCGGCACCCTGGGCTTTCTCATTGCGCTGATGACAACATCCGACAATGGCAAAAACCAAAAACTGCGTCTCGGTTACCTCTTGGGATTTGCATTCCTATGTGGTCTTGGTTTGGGGCCTTTGCTCGAATTGGTAGTCAGCATAGACCCGAGCATTGTAATAACAGCATTAGTTGGTGAGTCAACTGTGTATTGATTTAACTGTTTTGCGCTTTATTCGTTTCCATTTTATCCGTTTGTCTTGAGATAAGGCACTGCTCACAATCGATTACATTGATCCGAAATTAATTAACTTGATTCTAAAGTTAAAGTAAAATTGATTTCGCCAAAGTCTACTTTTACGCACACTATACTCGAACAACAAATCGTTGAGTTAACAATTTTCGTATATTTACAGAACATTTTAAAAACGCTGATAAGATACGTTAAATAATCAATTAAGTCAGTGATGCACAACCTACAGGCTACCTGTAAATTTTTCGCGGTCAACCAATTTGCAGTCGAAAATATAAAATCGAATTTTTTTATTATTCAGTAAACGAAATAAACATGGCTCCAAAAATTTTACCTAAAAATAGCCTTTTGAAAATAATCTTTAAAATGGTTGCACATCATTATGTTAAGCTATTACAAAATGAGTACATTGATCAGCAATATCTGAACTGTCTATCGTCTGTAAAAAAAACTTTAGACGCATTTCCCATAGATATGTTCTTATATTCTTTCTATGTTAATTAGGTATGCAATAATTGTACAAAAAAATGTTTACAGGCACGACGGTCGTCTTCGTTTCCTTTAGCATTTCTGCGCTTTTGGCTGCACGTGGCCGTTGGCTGTTTCTTGGTGGCACCTTGATGAGCATGATGAACGCTATATTCTTGGTCTCCCTTGTCAATATGTTCTTGCGTTCGACCTTCCTCTATCAAGTGCACCTATATGTGGGATTATTCGTTATTTGCGGCTTCGTCATTTACGACACGCAACTGATCATCGAGAAGTACGACATTGGTAGCAGAGACTTCATCATGCACTCTTTGGATCTGTTTGTCGACTTTGTAATAATTTTCCGACACCTCCTTGTGATACTTACGCAAAAGGTAAAGTATCCTGATGAATTAACTATTACTTTATAAAGATATCTCTTAAAATTGCCGCGTTATTTTTCGCTGATGTACAAAAGGAATTTTAGATTATTATTCTTTTAATTTTAAAACAATTGATTATTTAGGATATAATTTTCATTAGTCTTAAAATAACTCGTGTAAAAGCAAATAATACAAATTAGAAAGAGTAAATCGATAACTACTATGTTTACGGGCTCGGTTTGCGTCGACACTAAGTAGATTAAAAGATCGATCGGGCGTTATAGCGTTGAAATAAAACATTATGTAGAACAATACGAAACGTTGAATAATAAAAAATGCTAGAGATGTTTCTAGCGGTATAAGAAAAAGAAAAAAAGTATTTAAATCGAAAAAAAAAATAATAAAATTATCTTTGTTTACGTTTTGTATCTCTGATCTTATTATTTTAAAACAAATATTTAAATGCATATATATTTTGTTACGAATAAGAGAAACAATTTCTCTAAAAAATTGAATTATAGTTAAAAATATATATTAATTTAGAAAATATTTGCATTTTTTATATTTGAATTTTTTCCCCGTTTCAGGAATTGTCCAAGGATTCACGCAAGCGTAAAGATTAAGCAAAAACAAACTGAATAATTGAGGTGCATTCAAGTAAATCCATAAACTAGAGGTCTTCATGTAATCTATCCATACCTAGGTATTTGTGTACATATACATACCGGAAAAAATTATATAAATACCGATATACACCACGTCATATACGTATATATGTATAACATCTCTTTAGCGAACGCGAAACTATATTTACTATATTGAAAAAAAAAAGGAAAATGTTAAATACACACAGTTCGTTTACTATAAATGAAATCGGCTTCTCTTACGTCCAATTACAAACGAAGACATGTCGTAATTTATTTTAGTCATGTCTCTGAGTTATAATTCTCCATCAAACTTGTATACATATATATATATATATAATATAAATTAATTGTGTATTATATTTTCAACTTTCAATAAACTAATTTTCCCAATTTTTCTTTTTTTATTTCATAAATAGGATATGGGTAATTAAATAAGTCGATCGATTCGATTGTATGTTTACACATTACAGATCTTATCTATGTTGTCTATTTGAATATTGACTTTATACGAACGTAACATACATATGTAATATTTAGTTCTGATGAATATAAAAAGATCACGCGAAAAGAAAGACAATAAGAAATACATGTCACATGTATAGAATAAAGAGTGACTGCTTCCATTTTGCGAAATGTACAAGCACTTACAATGTGTACAATATGTGTACAAGTTGTTTATAATAATAGTGGGTCAATCGTTGATATTTCTTACGAAGATGACATTAGTATGGTCGCTGACGGTCTCTATCCCTGTCACCTCGACTAAAACAAAGTTGAAAATGGACGAGTCATTAATCGATATATTCAGGTTTATATCTGTATAAAACAGTTTGACGTAAATTTTGCACCCCCCTTCCTTCCCCAACATATCGACGAAAAGTAAAAGTTCGTGAAGAGTTGAACATTATGCAAGAAATATGAAGGGTAAAACCTACCCGCTGCCACCCCTCATGGGACCGCCTCGTCCACCGCGGCCGCCTCGGTCTCCACCACGGAAACCGCCACCGCCTCTGCCACCTCGGTCACCTCCACGTCCACCTCGATCGTTCCTGAAACCGCCTCTGCTTCCGCGGTCGCCACCTCGGCCACCACCTCCTCTACCGCCACCACCACCGCCACCACTGCCACTGCCGCCGTAACTACCAAGACCTTCTGGTTTCGCGCTCTTGCAGAGATTACACTGATCCCGCCACGCGAAATTCGTGTTGCCGCAGTCGGGATTGGGACACCTGTTTCAAGATATTTTTAGTTTTGCACCTCAATATTTCACTATCAAGGCATAGGTTTGTTTTAATATATAATAACATGCCGATATAGCAAAAATTGTAAGTTCTAACATACCAATACTCATATGTACTAAAATTAAAGTATAGTTCGCTCGTATGCTAAGCAATGCATAATATGACGTCTGTGATCGAGTCAATAAAGAAATTAAAAATAGTTTTTAATTTCATTTTGATTTTACACGCTCAATCGAGTAAGACGTTTCTCTGTCTCTTTATTACATTTCTGATTCCAATTATGAACAGTTGCGTTACTTTTTTGATAATGAAAAATTGCAGACTAATTGCCTAAACAATGGACTGAATTATATTCTTAAATAATACGGGATCTTGATACAGAAGTTATATTAGTATGTACGTCATCTTCTTGAATATAAGAATCGACTATGAATACCGACTTTAGTGTATGAGCACTCAAAGCAAACGCAGCCATAATCAGACATTCACACATTTTCTTAAATATAATATTATAATACTATTATATATTATAACAAATAAATTAAAGATTATTATATATTGTATTCACCTCCAGTCGCCTCCGCGGCCGCCACTATCACGACGATCGTCGCCACCGCCTCCACGATGATGATCGTCGCGATCGCCGCCTCCGCCACGACTGCCGAAACTACCACCCCGACCTCGGCCACCGCCGCCACGACCACCGCCCATGCGGCTACCCTGCCAATTGCTTTTGTGCTGCGCCATTTGCACCTTTATTGTGCTGCCTTTAAAATCTTTGCCATCAAACCAGCTAATAGCTGAGCGTGCGGCGTTTTGATCATCATACGTGACTGTTGCCTCGCCCTTCGACTTTCCCGTGTTCTTGTCTTTGTACATCCAAACTTTTGGTTTGCCCGTGCGTTTGTCATGCTGTAAACATCAAGTCTTCGTTGAACATTTAAATGTGATTTGATTTCATTATCGCTTTCGTACTTCGCATTTAATTCCAAACACTCTCGGTTTTTCATTCGAGATAACATTGCAGTATTGGCGATTAGATTAGAACTTCAAACATAGATGCGTGATGTAAATACTGTGCCTATATTCTGTACGCGTCTACCGACAGTTGTCGGTGCCGTTAAATAACGATAGCCAATAAGAACTGCACTTTTCTCCTGGAACAGTCCTTATCATTGGCTATCGTTAATTATTGACACCGACAACTGTCGGTAGACGTGTACAGAATATGGGCCCTGATCTACATATCGCTCATTTGTTACGATATAACTCGAACAACAAAGTTTTCCAAAAAATTAATTTAAATATTTTAAAAGTTTGTAACATTAATTTTTTGGCGAAAAGAGGAATACAATTTTTTCAAAGCATTTTTCTTTTTTCTTTCTTTTTGTTCTTTTCCTGTAAGTAATTCTAAATTGGCCAAGTTAACAAATGAGCGATATATATATGGAAGAATACATACTTTAATAATGCCAATCGCTCCAAAATGTTGACAAATTTCTTCTTCGGAGATCGATGGATCCATACCGGATACAAAAATAGTATCCTCTTGTGTAACCATTCCGTCACCGCCACCGCTGTTACGATCACTGTAGCCGCCTGCAATGGACCGAAAGTAATGATTTGTCGCACAGAAACGTTTAAGTTAATAAAATAAATATTCGCGCATCTACCGACCCTGGAGCTACTACTTTACTTCGTTCTATTTTAAAAGATATAAGGAAAGTGTTTCCGGTTGCGCATCCTTTTGTATTTTTTGCTTGCTTTGACTGCGCAGGAGCTTGGAAACGCCGTCCGTATATCTTCCTCGGATTCATCACTTTTCAGTAAAAATTATGGAGTCGTATACTCGAAGTTATTGTATTCCCGATGACACAACATTCTTAGTAAGGAACAGTCGTTTATTTTCGAGATGTTAGTTACCACACATTTTTAATAGCCTCTACAATCTTGATTGTGAAGGATTTCCTGCCTTTTTTTTTTTAACACGAGCAGAAGCGGAAAACGGATGACCAGTTTTCGTTTGGGTAACTTTCTATTTGTTCAGAATTTGAGTTTACAAGTAATAAATCGTATATACCAGCAAAAGCAAGAGATGTTCTTTTCTCTTTTGGAGGGTATTAAAGGAGGCTTATAAAGTATCATATATTTTAACAACTAAATGTATATATCTAATTATACATCTAAGGATATTCTTATAACGTTATCACCCAGCATATTTAGCATAATTATTGCTACTCGTTACGCATGTTTTCCATTTTTTTTTTCTCACGAGGTCTTAAAAGGAACACACAATTATATTCAATAATAAGTTCTCACTTAGATACCCATTTTTCTGCATAATTTCCGTACTTCGAATTACGTTTGCAGTATACATCGTAATCTCCCTTCGTATCGTGTTATTTATAAAAACGTAATGCATTAGTAGCGGTCTAATATTCCCATTAACACCTAACGATATACATAGAACACAGGGTTGCAGCTGAACATACAAAAGGGCTGCAACATTATTTCTTACCCTTGACATTTAATCACAGAATTGGCAAGTAGCTCACCAGCTGCCTTTTATTTATTCTTCTCGCGCTTTGTACGTTTATATGTATTTGAAAATAGATCGATCATATAAAAAATCAATCACGATTATCGTATCGTGCACAACTATTGTTCTATTGTCACTAATTGTTCACTCGCAATACCCTTTTTTTTTTTTTTACCTTTTAGGAACCTTTCGACCTTTTAAGGGATTTCCCAAAATAGTTTTCCTACTGCACAATATCAGCGATGACATGCACAGTGCGGAAATCGATTGGGTAACGACAGTCATTTACGGAATGTATGAAAGATCTAATTTTGGTAGACGCACGGAGATGTCCTACTCTTATAAAAAAAAAAAAAAGAAAAAAAGTTTCGCTTAACACGATAATACAGGAAAACGACATTCGTGCGTCAGATTTGTAGGATAAAAAAAGCAATTGGTGATCGTAAAATGTATCTGGTCTTTTTTTTTTTTTCAATGATACATCTACAAGCAGAACGCGAACGGTTTTGTATTACATTATCCTCCGTTCTCGCTTACAACGATAATTCGCCGTGCGAGTGTGAGATTGAGAAATATCGCACGCTATTTACTGCACTATCCTAACAATGTTGCATAGCAGCCCTTTCATATAACACCGAGTAACCGAGTATTTAAGATCGTAAATAGTAGAGTGAAAGCTAGAATATTTAGCACCAGACTAGTACAAACAGTCTGGTGCATTTACCTTTGTTATAACCACCACGGCCACCGCCACTGCTAAAACACAGAAGCAGATATACCAATGAGTTGACTCATGGAGAGACTGTGATCGATCGATCGATGCATGGCGAATCGTATGTATGCCGCTCGCCACCTTTCTTCTTGATTGATGTACCTATTTGTCTAAATGTCTGTACAGTCATACCACATCATGATTTACATTAAACCGTTCGTCCTGCCGTAAAATCACGTCCGTCAGTGTCGTTTAGCATGCAGATTTAGAGAACTTTATACAATGTGAGAAACGACGACAAACGATTAAATCGAGAGAGACAAATCGGAGTATTTTGATCGATTCGACGTAACACGAGTCTCGAAGAAAAGACAAATTTCGATAAAAAGCATGCCTAAGTTCTATACTTGAAAATATATACATATATTATATAGATATTTTTTTATTTTTTGAAATAAATAAAAAAAAAGTAAGAGATTACTTGTGTTGTGACTAAAGAACTCTTTGACGGAAAGGAATATTGTTAAGCATTTGCTACAACTCGCCGTTGACTTAGTTGCAGATTGGGACATAGAAATTAGTAAATGCACAGTATAATCGACGTGCTTTGTTTTTAAATTTTTGTTCGTGACAGAAAAGAAAAATATCTTTCGGAAAATACCTATTTTTAAATAATACCAATGGTAGAAGCGACGATATATACACAGTAAAACCATGTATTGCTTGAAGGCAATTAACATATGGAATAATACAATATACAGTTCCACCTTTTTCTAAAAAACTTGTTTCTTTTTTTTTTTAATATGTCGTACAATAACGGTCAGATAAGGCAATATTTCTCTGTAATCTCTTACAACAGACTTTAAATACCTTAGTTGCCTAATTATATATAATACACCTAATAATACAACAGTGGCCCCAGTGGCGACATCAATCGCTTTGTAGTCTAATCGACTTAAGACCTTAGCATTTAGCTGCCATATAATACGTATATATCGTGTGTACATGTATGTATGTACGTGAATGTACGTTACGTGTTTGCTGATATTTCAGAAGCAGCGAATAGTGTCGACATTACAGCCTTTTTACGTCAATTGTCATATACTGTTTATTTTTTTACCTCTTTTTACCTCAGTTATATCTGTCTGTTAAACCTGTAGGCATACTTTAAACACATTAACGCCCAGTCGGGCATAAAACCGATTCGAAATGATTTCAACAAGACTTTTCCATTTACTGGTGTTAAGAACATCATTGCATACCTTTGATTTTTGCTTCGGCAAAAAACGCTTAATGAATGTGGTGGCTGTTGATTTTAATTTAACACACCGGAGTCCGTTGCTCCGATTATTCGCTTCATTATGTGTATTAAAAATTTAGAAAATGAACTTACTTGTAACCACCGCCGGAGCGATCTCCGTAACCGCCGCGGTCGCTGTATCTACCGCCTCCACCGCCACCTCCTTGGCCTAAAACAAATAAGGATAAGTATACAGTATAATCTGCAAGAGAAACAAATCAAGAAAGATTATTTTAATAGTCGTAAAATAGCAGAAGTTTTTAGTATAACTGACAGATTATATAAAATATAGAGGAAGAAATGTAACAAAGAAGAAAAAGGAAGGAAAACTGCAGGAATCAAAATAATCAATTATAAAAAGTATGAGAAAAATATGAACCTCCGCTGTAAGAACCGGAGTTACGATTGTATCCTCCACTGCCACCTCCACTGTTTCCATAGCTGCTGCCATAATTATTACTGTTGTCTCCGCTGCCGCCTCCACTGTAGCTATTTTGGCTACTGTAGCTACCTTGATTCTGTGACTGATAGTCTTGATTACTGGAATTATAGCTGTTGTAACTACTGTAGTTGCCACTGGAGTTCGGAGGCGGTTGACTATATTGATTATAGCTACTCCCGCCAGATGAAGGTGGTGGATACGATGTATCCTGACCAGTTGCCGGAGGTGGCTGGCTATACTGATTATATCCTTGCTGTTGATAACTGGAATACTCTATAAAATTAAATATTTATTTTAACATTCAGAGTTCTTTCGTTAAGATTCTAATATACTGCGTGCTGCATAAAATAAAATTTAATATGGGATCATTAATGTTACAATCTATTTTTGGCTGAACTTTTTGTATTGTTTAGTTTTTTTTCCAACATGGAGAGAAAAAGAAATAGGTAGATAATAGCCATTTGTCAATATTCTTCTCTAAGAATATAAAAATGACAAATAAAAAGAAAATGAAAAGAAAAAATGATAATACAAAAAAGTATTCACAAAATAAAAAAATAAAGATAAAAATATAATGAACAAATTACAAAGAGAAAAAATAAACCATGCAAGTTTTTATAATTTTTTTAGTTTATGTGAATTTGGTAATTTTTACATATAGAAAAAACTACAAGACGAAAAAAGATAAATTTTCTTTCTCACTTTGTAGGTCTGTTATGTCTCAAAAAAGAATTTGCGAAAATTTTTGATTATCTAATGTAAAAGCTTGAAGTTTTTCCTAAAAACTTGTTTTTAAAAAATATACCTATGATTTTTTGTTCTTGAATTATTCGTGAGTTAGGTAAAGGAACGTTTCGATTTTAATTGCTTATAATTTCGTTAAAAATCATAGTATTGCAATTAAAAAATCTTAAAGCTGAAACTTTGCTCTATCAATTAGTACAATCGTTAATTTTTTAAATACACAATACATAATTTTCAGCTAATAAATGAACTTTTCCTCATATCTAATACATATATATATATATATATATATATGTGTACGATTATATGTATATATATATATATAAATTATACGAACGTGTATGATTTTTATGTATATTCAAATAAATTCATAAATGTTAGTACGTTCGTTTAAGAAAGTAACAATTTCAGCGAGCATAAAGATAATATTTCCATTCATTCTCGAGTCCGCGAAATTCCAGCGGTTACCAAATCGAAAATTTCACTCCAGCGTATATTATATACTTCGGTATATTCAACGCCTCTGCTAATCGCCATTTTCACTTGTAATCGACAAGACGATACTGACGATTTGCGAAGCTGGTGTTCCTCTCAGGTCTTCCGACTTAAGCCGATGGTGCGCGTGGAGACATTTCCCGAGATAGCTTATCATCATCGGAACTAAACCATCCTGTTCCGTAAATCGTACAAGTGTAACTTTATTTAAATACTCACGACTGTCCGTCATCGTGCTGTTCCTTCGAATGGACGATGAAGAGATACCGTCGACGGAGACGGAAAGATAATCTTGCTCGAGCGCTTTGGACTCGAAGCAACTTGGACCAGGTCCTTCCTCCTCGCGATCTTCTTTCGCAAATACCCGTCCCTCACGGGACCGCTGTTTAGCAATACGTCTAGCGTCTTCTTCACGAGCTCACGAACCAAGTTGGAATGGTGAAACGACACAGTTACTTGCAGACGGAAGCGGAAACGATAGACCGAGTGGCGTCTTGCTCGCTTCCGGTTGGCGTCGTCCAATGGGAGACGTTGTTCCCAAGGGAATTTTATGACCGGCGTTCGAGTGATTTTTTCTTAGGAGCGTGTTCTGTCGGGTGCTCCCATTTGATTGGTTGGATCTACAAGTAATAACCAATTATGTTCATTTGCTCGGCGAGCAGGTAGCCGCTTCGTCAACTTGAACGTGCACATAGTTTGTAAAGGTTAGAATAATCATTTGATTATTCAATGGGGTATCCAAGATACATTCCAGTCTTATAAATTCATTGGTCCGTATTTAGAACGTATTTTTATTAATAAAAGCGTGCTTTTATCTCTGAAATTCTATGGTATGTGTAATGTAAACTATAACATGTTAGAGCGCTAATATCGTTGTAAGCACGTTCTTAAACAAATGTTTTTATATCTATCTTTATCTAAAGAATGTGTAGAATATTACCTATTTTTTAAAATTATAAATCATCAAAGAGGACAATAAAAATTGAGATATAATGCTGAGATGTTAGGAACATCCTACTTGAGTAATTCGTTAAAAGTATTACATCAATAAAATTAAGTTATACAATGTAAACATAGTAACATAGTTTAGGTACTAAACATTTTTTTTGTAAAATGCTGTTTAATCAGTGGAGGTAATTGTTTAATGTATGTTTTCAGAAATTTAATGAAATAATTTTATAACTGAGATATAAACTTTTTAACAAGATGTTTTGTTCACTGCAAACTGTTAATCATTCTTGCGATACAACAGAAATTGTATAATATTTTAACGTTTACCAATGGAAACTAAAGTGACCAGTAAAACTAGCAGCTTAAAAGCTCTTTTGTTACGAGCTTGGCGAGAGCGTTGGACTGATCTGCAATGGGGAATTAATATTAAAACGGTAAACGTCAGCATTTTATCTTTGCTAATAGACATGCTTCCTATTTGTTTTTTTAAATCCTAAATTTAATTCCTAAAATCGAGACAAATCTTCAGATTCTGCCAAGAGGAGTAAGCGGTGATGTATATAACTTAGCAGACTGTATATTACAACAAGCGTTAGTAGGACCAGGACCCAATCAGTTAGTACTGTCATATCTGAAGCACTCCTTAAGCTCTCAGGTTTGTTTATTACATATTTTAGATGATATTCAAATTATATGTATATCAATAATTTGTACTTCAAGTCATCTTGCAGCTGGTGTCGTATGCTGCAGTTTTGCAGCGAATAAGTAAATACGACGCGTTTCACAAGCCCCATTGCATTGTGAGTTTGCTGGAGTTTTTGGAATCCATTCAAATTGGTATCACATGTCGTGGTAAACCAGAAGAAGACCTTTTGGCAGCAGCAGTCTTATCTATCGTACATTGGCTTCTGCAATGTTACCTACATACTTTAACGAAGACTCCCCAGAGCAATCCTCTCACTCCACATCCGAGCGAGCTTGTAGACAAACCTGTTAGTATTTTGCAGCAAATGCTGAATTCGGACTTTTTATGCGCAATGATGTATCTAGCTAAATACGATGACAAAGGTATGACTAAGGCTAATGCTTTTAAAATTTTTATGCGATATAATTAAAATAGAAACTTATATCCAATTTGTATTTATTTTGTATAGTTTTGTGTAGTTATTAATTTTTATGTAGTTTTTTTATTTATTTATACCTGTCTTTTTTAGATTTATACATAGAAGTTTTAAAAAAATGCCAGGAAATCGAGACGTTACTGAAGACAAGTACTCAAAAGTCTGTGGTACCGATAGATGATTTTCTGAAAAAGTTGTGCAATCTGGAGATCGAGAGTCTTTGCCCTGAGAAAATTAAAATGGAATCAATTACTCATTGCTTGCAGCCGTTTTTTGCCGTTCAAGTATTACTGAATCCTAGCACCGAGACAACCGTATTCGTCAACCAGCTGCTGATGGTACAGAGATTGAAGAGTTATACAAACGCGCGACTTTATTGTGAGATCATCCGCGCTTGTCTGATGTGCCTACACAATGTAACGGGAACGTTCAAAGAGTCACAGTGGGGAGCCTTCATGTTTCTAAAGGTGCCTCACATATTGAAGGAGTTACATGTAGCTAATTTGAATGGTCAGTAAAATTATTTGAAGTTCTCTAACTGCCAGGGAATAAAAATTTGATTTTACATCTTTGCGTCTTTATAGGTGACGAGAAGTCTCTTGAATACTCGCAAGATATTCTGGATGCATTTGAATTGCTGCTTCAGTTCACCCCTCTACTAGACATAATGGATACCACATGTTTGTGCAATTACGTAGAATGCTTGCTGAATGAATTGCAGAAGGTAAACCTCGTGACAGAAAAGCAAGCAAAGCAAATTAGCGCCAGAAGGTATGCACCTAAAAAATAAATTATTTTTAATAAAACTTGGACAGTTGAATTTTATTTGTTTTATTATCATCGCAGGGAGGGTGCGACTGCGGCGTCGTCAATTCCAAAGATAATTGTACAAGCCGGGCAGACACTAAACGGGATCTTGAGGACACTGAACGCAGATTACGCGAAAATTCAGGGCTTGCTAAATGTATTATATCGAGTTTTGACGGGAAAGAGCTTTGAACTGATGTTAGCCGTAGCAACTGTAGAAGGAGAGTTGAAGACTTTTGTTACAAAACTCATCAAGGTTAATGAATGTAGTAAACAGATTAACGAGCCGGTATCTGATGAGACAGCAGCGACGAGAGCAATGTTGTTCGACGTATCATTTCTCATGTTGTGTTCCATAGTACAAACGTACGGCTCTGACGTAAGTTTGATATTGATATATGTTTCGAATTTTATATACAGAGATTTTATAACTTTAAGACTGTTATTTGTGGCTGAACTAGTGTACACTTGTACTTAAAATGTAACAGATCTATTTAAAGTTTGACAAAAGCGATGTAAGTTTTAATGCAATTCAGTGCAGCAAAGAACAGGCCTTTTATATGTCAATTATGTTCGCGTATGGTTCGTATAGAAAATTTTTTCGTTACAGAAAATTGGTTTTCAGGTTGTTTTGGAAGAGGGCGGAGATTCGTTCTTTGAACAATGGGTGCGTGAATGTATGCCAGAACGAAACAAACTGAAATCGCCACAGAGAATGTTGCAAAGCGTCGATTCAGCAAGGGTGGACGCTTTGCTGGCGCAGATTAATTCGCCGGATCCAGATTTCAAATCGAGCAACTTAAAATGGCACATTGCATGCCAGTCAGCAATGGGTGCGGTGAAGGAACTGCTCTACGCGTGGGAGAGCGGGGTACTGGGCGCTGGTGACGTGAAGAGAGCTCTGGACGGTTTGCGAGCAACGGCCTGCTGTCTGCCAGTCTGTGCCGTTGCTTGGCTTTGTGCGTACATGAGTATCACACATCAAGATGCTCTGCTGAAACCTATGAACATGGTTCAGCACTTCCTGACGCCGCTTTCAGGCGATGAAATGCAGGACAATCTTAAAGACAGGTAAAAAAAGGAATAAGTGTATGATCATTTATAGAATATAGTTAATTCAATTTTTCTTTGGATAAAAATTGATTCCTTTTTTTTTAGATGTAATCTGTACATTTAAACATGATATATATTACGATTTTTATGTTTATCTTTTTTTTTCAGGTCCAGCTTAATGGTCCAGATTATTCGGAAAATGCAGTATGACGTGCACCCACCAACACAGTCGAAAACAAAGGTTCTCTCGATGTCACACAGGTATTATGGTATTTTTTGGAAACGAATTGTCTTCGTTTTTGGGATTGTCATTTTTATGGAATTTTTACAGTATTATATCGCGTCAACCAATACTGGAACAATTGGAATCCGTTTGGCAAAATATAAATCAACGTGGGTGGATAAATATACAAGCCACGCAGTCGTTGAAGTCCCTGCTAAACACCGGTGGCTCTTTATGGTTTGTCACGAATATAATCAAGGAAGTATTGAAGTATCGTTATCAAGAAGAACTGGATCAAGCCGTGGATCTGGCCTTTGCAATCTTCCATCTCGACATAGAGAACTGTACTCTAGACCTCATAAATCATATAATACCGCAATACTTACACAATTCGATGCAGTAAGTCGATCTTATCGTTTCGTATTTTGATCAAATCTTTAAATTCATATACAGGTTTGTTACACGTAAATTTCGTTTCACGTAGGAGTGACGAGCTTGTGGAACCACAGTCATCTATCTTAGCGAAATTATGCGTGTACTGCATCTTCTCTACTTTAGAGTACAACAACTCGAATCCGTATCGAGGAAACAATCGTAAGCGCGTGCGACGCGATTTGGATACGGATGATCTGGATGCTCTCGGCGTATCTAATAAACTTCTCCGGTTGAATGAAACTGGTGAGAACGTTTCCATATTCAGTTCTCAGAGCCCACAGGCGCAGGGTTCTAGTAATGGGCAAAAGTCAGTTGTCATTCTAAGGGATCCGCTTATGACGGCATTGAACAATCTGTTTACTATATTCGCCTTTTTGGCCGGTAGAGACGGTGAGGTGTCTCAACAGACTCATTTCATACTCCAGTTTCTGCGGTTCATGGTGCAATGTGGAAAAGACAGAACTCGCATTGTGTTGCAAGGAATGCCGCAAACACTGGTACGTTTTTTTTTATATATTTGTAGCCACTAATTTTATTTTCGCTTCTCAATATCGAATATTTAGAAAAATAATTTATACGAGTTTGTTCCTAAAAAGATCTCTTCTTTCCATTCTTTCCAATTCACGATTAATTTGAGACAAGTTATTAATAAGTTTGCATATTTGTTTTTACAGGTACCGTGTCTTCTTAAAGCATTGCCCGAATTATTCACGACTGATATTCTGTTAAGATTGTATGATATACAAACCATGATTGGACGCAAAGCTACCGCACGAGACCTATGCATGTTGCGAAATATTAATTTGAAACCTACAAAATAAAGGCACAAATGTCGCAAAATGGAGAATGT